GAGAGAGAGAAACATTGATGTGACCAGTTGCCTCCTGTATGTGCCCCAACTGGGGATCAAACCCCCAACCTGGCTATGTGCCCTGACCAGGAATCGAACCCACCATCTTTTGGTAAATGACACAACACTCCAGACAACAGAGCAACACCTGCCAGGGCTGTTTCATTTTTTCTTTTTTTAATAATTGTTTTTAATTGATTTGAGAGAGAGAGAGAGAGAGAGAGAGAGAGAGAGAGAGAGAGAGAACATTGATTGGCTGCCTCCTGCATGCCCCCACTGGAGATTGGGCCTAGATCAGGAATCGAACCAATGACCTCTTGGTGCATGGGTCAACACTCAACCACTGAGCAACACTGGCTGGGCTCTTTTTTTTTTTTTTTTTTTTTTTTACGTTTTTATTGATTTTTTTAGGGAGAGAAACATCAGTGTGAGAGAGATACAGAGATATGTCAATTGAGTGCCTCCTGCATGCTCCCTACTGGGGATCGAGCCTGCAACCCAAGCATTTGCCCTGACTGGGAATCGAACCAGGACCTCTCAGTCCATGGTAGGACACTCAATCCATTGAGCCACACCAGCAGGGCTGTTGTCAATTTTTATTTGATAATTTAAGGCAAAAGAGGAAAGTGCCCCATCTTAGTCAGGTGTTGCATGTTTTAAAAATTCTCCTAAAATGGGTTGAAAATTACTGGCTTAGTGTAATCAGTAAGATTACTTCACATTAGCCTAGCCTATACACTAATGAATCATCATAAAATTTTAATGGCATACAGTATTCTATTAATCTTCATAATACAGTATTGGCAACATTGTTATATATTGAAAAGAACAACTTAACCTGTGATGGTAGTCTAAAATGCAGTTTCTTTAATTATGAAAGAGGAATACTGTACAATAATGTAATTCCTTGAAAGCGTAATTATAAAACAGCAACAAAACTAACATTAATTTTATGTTAAACATCACTCACTTTATGCCTATGTAAGAATAGGCTATTCACTTCCATGCAAGTCTTGTGCACAATGTCCTACACAATGATCACAACACAAAAATGTTTCATACTGCCATATTGGTTGTACATATATTAGATTTTTCACATGAAGACAGCAGAGAAGTTTATTGACTGTACGGCATGAGGATTATTTACTATTCATAAATGGAAGTGGATTATTAAGAGTCCTTAATCCTCATCACCTTCACACTGAGTAGGAGGAAGAGAAGAGGAGGAGTCAGTCTTGCTTTCTCAGGAGTTGCAGAGGTAGAAGAGATGGAAGGAGAGGCAGGCACCCTCAGTGTAACTTTATTGAAATACATCGTAATTTCTATCTGGCTTTTTTACATTTTCATTTCTCTAAAACTCTTTCTGTACAATACCAATCCTTTTTAAGGGGTTCTCATTGTCCAGGCCTCAGTGAACAACTAAATCACTGGCAGCTGGTATTTGTCTTTTCCCTTAAAGGCTCTGGATTAGCAGCTTTGTAGTTAAGGGCATTCCTGATCATATACTTGATTGCATTTGTACAAAACAATAGAGTTAACCTACCACTTACTACCTTAAATCCTGGTGTTTGCTTCTCTGCCTTACTAACAAATGTCCTTTGTGGCATTTTCCCCCAGAATAGGGAACTTTTGTGTGCATTAAAAACTTGTTCAGGCAGATATCCTTGCTCTTCAATGATTTTCTTAATGGCCTTTAGGAATTTGGCTGTTGCCTCTTGGTCAGTAGAACCTGATTCTGTTATCTTTTTTATTTTTAATCCTAACCCGAGAATATTTTTGCATTTATCCACAGGTAGAGTGGGAGGGAGAAAGGGAGGGAGGGAGAGAAACATTGATGTGAGAGACCCATCAAGTGGTTGCCACCCACATGATCCCAACCAGGGAAGGTGACAAACTGCAACCAAGGTACGTGCGTGCCCTTATGGGAACCAAACCAGGGACTCTCCAGTCCGCGGGCTGACACTCTAACCACTGAGCAAAACTGGCCAGGGCTGATTCTGTTATCTTGAATTAAGGGAGAGGGAGAGAAAAACATCAACGAGAGAGAACATCTGTTGGCTGCCTCCTGCATGCCTCCCCCTGGGGATTTGGCCCACAACCTGGGCATGTGTCCTGACAATAGAACCGGTGACCTCTTGGTGCACAGGTTGACGCTCAACCACTGAACTACACTGGCCGGACTGTCTCTTGACATTTTTTAAAGCCAGGCCTCTTTTTAAACTTTTAAAACTATTTTTTGTTGGTATTAAATTCTCCAGTATGACATCTTTCACCTTTCTTTTGCTTTATGTTGTCATATAATGACTTTGCTTTTTCTTGAATCATTAGAGTCTATAGGTATGCCTTTCTTATAGCAACCCTGTACCCACATAAAAGCTGCTTTTTCAGTGTGAGATAAAAAGGTATTTTGCCCTGGCCGGTTTGGGTCAGCAGTTAGAGCATTGGCCTGTGGTCCAGAGAGACCCGGGTTCAGTTCCCCCTAAGGGCACGCGCCTTGGTTGCAGTTTGTCTCCGGCCCTGGTTGGGTCATGCGGGTGGCAGCCATTCGATGTGTTTCTTTCATGTAGATGTTTCTCTCTCTGTCTCTCTCTCTCCCTCCCACTCTATCTGAACAAAATATGAAAAAATGTCCTCGCGTGAGGGGGAAAAAAAAGGTATTTTATAAAAAGCTCAAGGTTTTTGCTGGTGTAGCTGCAGTGACAGCTTCATGAATTTCTTTAAAAAACAAAAACAGCCCTGGCCGGTTTGGCTCAGCGGTTGGAGCGTCGGCCTGTGGTCCAGAGAGACCTGGGTTCGGTTCCCGCTAAGGGCACATACCTCGGTTGCAGTTTGTCCCCGGCCCTGGTTGCTCATGAGGGTGGCAGCCACTCGATATGTCCCTTCACATCGATGTTTCTCTCTCTCTCTCTTCCTCTCTCTCCCTCCCGCTCTATCTGAACAAAAAATGGAAAAATGTCCTCGGGTGAGGATAAAAAAAACAAAAACAGCCCTGGCCGGTTTGGCTTAGCGGTTAGAGCATCAGCCTGTGGTCCAGAGAGACCCGGGTTCGGTTCCCGCTAAGGGCATGTACCTCGGCTGCAGTTTGTCCCTGGCCCTGGTTGGGTCGTGTGGGTGGCAGCCACTCGATGTGTCCCTTTCACATCGATGTTTCTCTCTCTTCCTCTCTCTCCTTCCCGCTCTATCTGAGTAGAAAATGGAAAAATGTCCTTGGATGAGGATAAAAAAAAAACAACAACAAAAAAACAAAAACAAAATAAAACTGGATCTTACACTGAATTCATTTACCTCAAAATGACAGATTCCCACAGCTGCAGACCTCAGTCTACAACACATGTCGAGCACTTCAACTTTTTCTTGTAAAGACATGAATTTTCTCTGCTTTTTCGGGGCACTGCCTGCATCTCTAGTGGCACTTTGTATGGATGCCCTGGTGTTATTTAAGGGTTATGGTATTGCACTAAACACAGTGAAAAATACACAAGGACCTCAAGAGATCACTTGACTGTGATACCCAGTGTACTGGAGGGACAACTCAGGCATTTGTTTTGTAAAACATTCTTCAGTTTGGGTTTGTTTGATTTTTTTTTTTTTTAGATGTTTGTCAGGAATACCCCTGAAGTAATGTTACATCCTGTCAGAATGCACATGTTAGTGGTTTGTCCCATAACTGTGATGTTACTGGGTTAATAAATATTTCGATATTGACACTTTTGAAACTGTCACTTTTTGATTCACAGGTTATTGGTGACTTTTGTTTGAATCTATTGACTCCATTTTAAAGAACTTTCCTATAGATTCTATCCAGCAGTATCCACTTATATCTATATCTCCTTAGCCAAAGCTACACAGAAGCTTGGAAAGGTAATGTTTTTAGCTGTGTATGCTGCTACCTCAAATAAAAACCAGAATTCTGTCAGTAAAGAAAAAAAGGATACAGTAGATATACAAACCCACTAATTATTTCATTAATGAACTTAATATAAGTAAAATGGTTCAGTGCAAGACATCTACATTTCAGTAAGACACCTTTCATCTCTTGTCTTATAGAAGTACTACTTTTAGTTGGAAGTTTATTATTTGTATGCCCCATCCACATATCCAAAGGGGGAAAATGATCTGTAGCAAAGAAGGTAATTGAAGGAAGCTGTAACGATACAGAAGATGTGCATTCCTTCTCTGCAAGCAAAAGCAACTTCTACTTCCTTGACCTTCACTGATACATCATTTTGGGGTTGCTACGTCTCATTTTAAACAAAAATTAATAGAGCTCGACCAGTGTGGCACAGTGGTTGAGTGGTTGAGCAACGACCTATGTACCAAGAGGTGCTGGTTTGATTCCCAGTCAGGGCATATGCCCAGGTTTTCGGCCCAATCCTCAGTGGGAGGCATGCAGGAGACTGCCAGTCATTGTTCTGTCTCATCAATGCTTCTATCCCCCCTCCCCCTTACATCAATAAAGAAAAAAAATAAAAAATTATAGAAAACGCTGAGCAAAACCTTTTCAGAAAGTTGTGTTCTTATGATAGATACATGGTAGTTTTTGGCAAAAAAGTATTTGTGGCTCCTCTTTTTTTTTTTTATTAAAGAAATGTGCTGGTTTCTTTTTTTATTTATTTATTTCCTTCATTGATTTTAGAGAAAGAAGAAGGGAGAGGGAGAGAGAGACAGAAACATCGATGAGAGAGAACATCAATTGGCCGGCTCCTGCATGCCCCCCAATGGGGATCAGGCCCACAACCTGGGCATGTGTCCCAATTGGGAATCAAACTGGCAACCTCTTCGTGCATGGTTGACGCTCAACCACTGAGCCACACCAGCCGGACTCTAATTTTTTTATCTCCAGTATAGAGGATGGGGTAAAGGGGAATCTATAATTTTCTTAACAAATTTGCCATGCTTTTGTGTATGCATTAGAAAACATTCTGTTCATTAGAAAAATATATTTTAATTTTATGACATCCAATAAGTTAATATGAACATTGTTTTTCACTTTTGTTTAGGAAGTTTATCGGAATTCTATGCCAGCTTCCAGTTTCCAACAGCAGAAACTTCGAGTCTGTGAAGTCTGCTCTGCCTATTTAGGTCTTCATGATAATGACAGACGATTGGCTGATCATTTTGGGGGTAAACTGCATCTGGGATTTATTGAAATAAGAGAGAAGCTTGAAGAATTAAAGGTATATTGGTAAATTAATATCTTTCACTTGATCCTATTTAGCCACTCATTCGTTTTATCTTAGTTGTCTTTTTGTATAGTATTCTTGACTGTGATTCTCTTAACAATTCATACTGAATAGTGTAGGATTTTATATGGAGATAACAGCTGACTTAATGGATAATGTTTGAGAGAGAGGCCTTTAAATACTGTCCTTATTCTTGGAGGTAGTAGTTGAATATGGCATTGAAGTAGTAATCTTGCAAACTGGTTCTAAACTAATTATTTTATAGAAGTCCCCTAAGGTCTTCTTTTGTTTTTTATGAAATTAATAATACAATATTTAAAAGAAGTTTGAGAAAATGAATTCAATGTTTATTTGAAATATTTTGCAGTTATTCACTAGATAGCAAGCCTGCAGGACCTCTAGTTTTATGTTACACTCCTGCCCCCATTGCAGAAAGGAGTTAGAATAAAACCTATTTTTTTAAAAAGGGCAATCACTATTGATATTTCTCTTTCCCTCCCTTTCTCTTCTCTTTCTCTAAAAAAGCAATAACTAAATTTTTTTAAAAAATAGAAATCATGGAGGACTATGAAATTTTACAAAAAAAGGAAAGAATTTGGAAACCAGACTTGTAAGACTAATGACTTTACTTACCAAATTGAATTATTATTATCAGATTTTGATGTTACTTATAAATATTGGAAACCAGATATGATAAAGTTTAGGATGATGCTTATTACTAAGAATGGACCCAGTAAATAACATTCCTCATTTATTCTATTTAAACTCTCATTGCTTTCTTTTCTTTCTTTTTTTTTTTTTTTAAGAGAGTTGTAGCTGAAAAGCAGGAGAAAAGAAACCAGGAACGCCTGAAGCGAAGAGAAGAAAGAGAGAGAGAAGAAAGGGAGAAGTTGAGGAGGTATGGAGTAATGAATCGAATAGTCCAAGTATCTGAAGTTGAATATCCCTGGTTCTACAGGGAGATGTGATTGGTACAAGATTTTATTTGTTAACAAATATGGACATGTAAAATTTTTGTTTACTCTTTAAAATGTTACTCTGCAAAACAGTAGTTATGCAAGTATGTTACTTAATGGTCATTTAAGTCGAAGTTTTTTCCTTCAAAATGTATTGAGGAGGTAATGCAGAGTGCCTTGCATCTTTGTTTTGTAAGCTATATAAAAACCTTTTTTAGCCCTCTGATTTTCATAATGAGCTAGATGTGTACCAGGTTAGCACAGAACTTTTTAATTTTTTTCAACAATTAAAAAAATACATATTTTAATCGATGTTTAGAGAGGGGGAGAGAGAGAAACATTGATATGAGAGCAGAACATCAGTTGGCTGCCTCCTGTATGCCCCCTTCTGGAGATCCAGCCTGCAACCTGGGCAAGTGCCCCAACTGGGAATCATATCGTTGCCTCTTGGTGCATGGGTTGACATTCAACCACTGAGCCACACCAGCTGGGCCAGAACTCTTTTTTTTTCTTTTTTTTTTTTTTTTTTTGTGGTGCATGCCCGTTGCAGGAACTGAACCTGGGACTCTGGTCTGCAGGCCGACACTCAACCACTGAGCCAAACTGGCCAGGACAGAACTCTATTTATTTTTTTAATATTCTATACTTGATAAAAGGTTTGGGTTTTTTGTTTTATTGATTGTATTGTACTTTTGTTCAATATTTCTTCAATTCTGGGACCTATAAACTATTAACATTTTTATTTAATAGTAGATAAATATATAGTTATTTTTATACTGGTATTTATGAGTTTATAGAATAAAAAATGTTTATATTTACAATGTTTAAATGTTCTGGATCACCCTTTATTAGATGTGATAGGTTATGTCAACTTCCTCCAAGCTTTGAGCATTATATACTCAGTCATTTCAAAACGTTTGAACTGACTTCATCTGTATTTCCTGGCTTACAGCACTGACTGACAAAATGAAACATAGCTGTGTCTTGTGGACAGCTTCCTCTCTAGGGAAATGCTGTCCTTCCTCCATTGATGTTTTTGTTCTTCATTTACCATAAATTTCAACCCAGAACTTCATGTGTTCTCTTGTGTGTACACTCAGATGGTGATATTACCCAATATTGTAATATTTAAAACAATATAAATGTTTATATTGAAATCTCAAAGTTCAACTGAATGTAGTGCCACTAATGTAAATGATTCAACTGAGGTAAGTCAAATGAGAAAAAAATGCTTTGCAGGACTAACTTCACATTTGTAGATGACAAGAAAGTACATCACATCTTTGTTGCTGCCTGGCAAATTTTTATAAAATGTAATGTATTTTAGTAATGTTTAAAAAATTTTTTTTAATCTATATGTGAATTGAAGAAATATTGTAAGTATGGAAGATGAGGAGATTTCAAGTGAGTTCAAAATTACACAAGATAGGGCCCTGGCTGGTTTAGCCCAGCAGTTAGAGTGTCGGCCTTCAGACTAGAGTCACAGGTTCGATTCCGGTCAAGGGCACGTACCTCAGTTGGGGTTCGGTCCCCAACCCTGGTCAGGGTCATTCAGGAGGCAACCGATCAATGTGTTTTTCTCACATTGATGTTTCTCCACCCCCAGTCCCTCTTCTCCATCCCATTCTATCTGAAAATAAATGGACAAATATCCTCAGGTGAGGATTTTTTAAAAAAAATGGATCAGTGGTTGAGCATTGACCCATGCACCAAGAAGAGGTCACCAGTTTGATTCCTGGTCAGGGCACATGCCCAAGTTGTGGGCCAAATCCCCAGTGGGAGGCATGCAGGAGGCAGTCAATCGATGTTCTCTCTCACATCGATGTTTCTCTCTCTCCCTCCCTCTCCCTCTTTCTCTCAAATCAGTAAGGAAAAAAAAATTTTTTGTTTTAAGCTACACAAGATAGGATTCCAGCTATGGTATTAAAAAAGGGTAATGATAAAAATGATCACTTATCGAGTGCTGTTTCCCAGGCACTGCTAAGAACTTACCTCTAGTAGTTCATGTAATCCTTAACAACCCCCCTGTGGCATTTATATTAATTACTATTCCTCTTTCACAAATGACAGACTAAGCTGAAGGGGAATATATATTATCTGCCAACATTACACAAATGGTGGGGGATGGAATCAGAGTTGAGGCTTACATCAGGCTACACCCAAAACCATGCTTCAGCCATCTATATAGTCTCCACAAAAACATCCCTATGGCTTCCTAGTAATCATAATATTGCCTATTAGTATCTATTGTTAATTGTGTGCTAGGAAATGCAGAGTGTTTTATGTGTCAGTTGTCATGTTAAGAAACATGCCCTGGTCGGGGTGCTTGGTTGGAGTGTCATCCCATACACCAAAGGTTTCAGGTTTAATCCTGGTCAGGGTGTGTGCAGGTGGCTGCCAATCAGTGTTTCTCTCTCATTGATGTTTCTCTCCCATTCTCTCTCTCTCCTCTCCCCCTTCCTCTCTAAAAAATCAGTAAAACATATCCTCGGGTGTAAGAATTTTAAAAAAAGAAAGAAATGAAGAAACACGTTGTAAGATTGATTTGGGCATTCTAGGGATTATAGTATGAGGTTGTAGATCCAAAGTGTACACATCTCAGATCATAGAAATTTTACTCTGTTCCCAGAGGGAAAGAAGAAATGACAGAGATAAAAATAACAAAGTATTTTTTCCAGGGTTGGAGAGTAGTTTCTGGAGAATTAGTAGATTGTAATGTACTATGTTTTTAAGAGCCAGATATCCTAGTTAAGAGAGTTCATATGCCAAGGTGGGGAAGTCTGTAGTGTGTATGCACACATGCTTTATATTTATAAGATTAATATAAAAATTAGAAATCAGGAGGAATGTAATTTTAACAACACAGTGCAATTGCTATCATTTATAGTTACTCTTCTAAAAATAGATTTCTTTTTTTTAGGTCTCGATCACATAGCAAGAATCCCAAAAGGTAGGTATAATACAAGTTTAAGTAATAAAGCTTTGTTTTTCAGATAGTTGTTATAGATTAAATAAATATCTTTTTTAAATGAATGAGAATTAATAGATTAGTACATTTAAATTTTTTGTAGTTCATGTTTGAGCCATATTTTTTGAGAATACTCATGCACTATAGTTTAGTTTTTTGTTTTTTTTTTCTTTTTTTGGTATGTGCCCCTAGCGGAAACCGAACCCGGGACTCTGGTTCGCAGGCCAACACTGCAACCGCTGAGCCAAACCGGCCAGGGCTAGTTTAGTTTTGTCAGAGTAACATTATATACAGTGCCCTGGAGTTGGAGGGAAAGCTAAATATATTTCAGAATATTTCTTTAAAATCTTTAGAGGCTCAGGGTGAATGTGTGTGGAAAGGAACACATTCTACGAGGTATACCTGTTAAAAATGTAAGTAGGTTAAATAGTTGGATACATTTTTTAATATTTACTGAACACTTGTCAGACATGGTGTTAATGTTTTTTTTAATCTTCATCTGAGGATATTTTTCCATTGTTTTTTGTTTTGTTTTTTTTCAGACAGAGTGGGAGGGAGGAAGGAGGGGTCGCAGGAGAAAAACATTAATGTGAGAGAGACACATTGATGTGAGAGAAAGACAAATTGTTTGCCTCCCACATGACCCCAGCCAGGGCCAGGGATTGCACCACAACTGAGGTTCGTGTCCTTGACTGAATCAAACCCAAGACCCTTTGGTCTCAGGGAAGACACTCTTAACTGCTGAGCCAATTGGCCAGGGTTGGATACATTTTTGAATGAGGGGTTCATGGTGGGTTAGTAAGGGAAATGAAAATAGTTTAGCCTTGGCCAGTGTGACTCGGTTGGTTGGGTGTTGGCCCATGCACCAAAAGGTTGACAGTTCAATTCCTGGTCAGGGCACATACCCAGGTTGTACATTTGATTCCCTGTTGCGGTGTGGGAAGCAGCTGATCAATGATTCTATCTCACATTGATGATTTTTTCTCCCCCTCTTCCTTCGTCTCTCTCTAAAAAAATCAAAAACACATTAAAAATAAACAAGATGTTTAGTTTATGCCTCCATTTTGACTTTATATGAGTTTTTACTTTCCCTTTGTAACTGATCACAAAAAGCTTTAAAGGGCACTTCCAGCCTTAAAAAGAAACAGGACATGATATACTTTTCTTCGACTTTTGGATTTCATATTTGGGGGCTTTTTTGAAGCCTTTTAAAAATAATTTTTACTAGGTACTGGTAATTTTCGTCTATCTGAAAAAGGTAGAAAACATGGTGTATTTCATTCTTAAATCTTCACTGCCATTCTCATTCTTGTCCTTGAACCTTTCTCATAAATCTGTTTTCTCTTAGAATACCCTTTCTTGTTATTTTCCAAATCTTACTATTCCTCTTTGTGTGGACCACATCTTTGAAGCATTCTGAGTAGTCTTAACTCTGAAAAGTAACCATTTCCCAAGAACTTTTCCCTGTAAAGTGGAGCATTTGTCATTATAAAAGACAAACCTTATGTTTCTGTTAGGTGTCCCATAGTGCTTTTTAGAATCTTACATTTTTCTGCTTAAAACACTAAAAAACAGTACCAATTGGGTTAGCTAATTTATATTGAGTTTCTCAAATCCAGAATGAGAAGTATAAACATTAAATGATGATACAGTTCTGTTTACTGATTAATTATGCAAGCTGGTTACCCTTGTTGATAAAGATATTTAAACTGTTTGTTTATAGTATCTTTTTTTTATTTTTATTAATTGATCTTAGGGGAAGGGAGAGGGAGCGAGTAAGAGAGAAACATCACTTGGCTGCCTCTCGCATACACCCCAACCAGGGATTGAACCCACAACCTAGGCATGTGCCCTGACTGGGAATGGAACCAGCGACCTTTCATTGAACGGGACAATGCTCAGTCAAATGAGCCACATTGGCTAGGGCTGCATATAGTACATCTTTAGATATGCAGACCAGCCCTGGCCGGTTTGGCTCAGTATTTAGAGCGTCGGCCCGTGGACCAATGAGTCTCGGTTTCAATTTCAGTCTAGGGCATGTACTTTGGTTGCGGTTTATTCCCAGTCAGGTCATATGGGAGGCAACCAGTCGATGTGGCGCTCTCTCATTAATGTTTCTCTCTCCGCCCCCCCCTCCCCCGTCCCTCTCACTCTGTCTGATGATAAATGGAAAAATATCCTCAGATGAGGGGAAAAAAAAATAGATATGCAGACCAGAAATTTAATTTTTACCACTCTAGTTTAAGCCACTTCTTAACTTGGTATTATGATAGCATCTTAACTGGTCTCTAATTTCTATTCTTGCCTACTCTACCTCTCTACATCAGTCTGTTTTTCACATGTCAACCAAAATGAGCTTTTGAGCTTTTTAGAAAGTGAAATAAATCATGTCAGTTTTGTTCAAGTCCTCCAAAGGACTACAAGTCTTTTTTTACTACCTAACCTATTTTTATTTACTGGCTACCAATCTGTATAGACATCTTTCTGGAGTATATGGGGTAGGCAAAAGTAGGTTTACTGTTGTTTGTATGGAAAACACAGTAAATAGTAATAGAAGAATAAACTGTGTTTCCTGTACTCACAACTGTAAACCTACTCTTGCCCACCCCGTATGCTCCATTTGGTTAAGGAGTTGAATTACTGCTAAATCTCACCACTACCCAGAACAGTGCAGTAGGTACCCAGTAAATATTTTTTTGAATGAATGGATAACTTTTATTTATTTGTTTATTTATTCTTTGTTAATCCTCACCTGAGGATATTTTTCCATTGACTTTTTTAAAGTTGAAGGGAGGGGTGGGGTGGGGAGAGAGAGAGAGACACATCGATTGGTTGCCTCTCGAATGATCCCAATCAGGACCCAGTATTGAACCTGCAACCCAGGTACATGCCCTTGACCAGGAATCAAATCTGCAACACTTCATTCAGTCCAAGGGCCGATACTCTGACCACTGATCCAAACCGAGCAGTGCTGAATGGATAACTTTGAAAAGAGAAATGAGCCCTGGCCGGTTTGGCTCAGCGGTTAGAGCGTCGGCCTGCGGTCCTGAGAGACCCGGGTTCGGTTCCCGCTAAGGGCATGTACCTCGGTTGCAGTTTGTCCCCGGCCCTGGTCGGTTGTGTGGGTGGCAGCCACTCGATGTGTTCCTTTCACATAGATGTTTCTCTCTCTCTCTTTCTGTTCCTCTCTCTCCCTCCCACTCTACCTGAACAAAAAGTGGAAAAATGTCCTCGGGTGAGGATAAAAAAAAAAAACAAAAAAAAAAAAAAGAAAAGAGAAATGAAATTACACATTGGAAGAAATAGATTTATTATAATAGCTCAAAATGAGTAATTAAACATAATATCACTTGGTAAAGCTTGTATTGAATGAATTTTGTTTCCTTCTTATCAGAAATATTTTTTCATTTGTGGAAATATTCTATTCAGCTGTGGTTGATGTTATGTTCACAGTACATGCCTTTCTTTGACTGTAATGTTGACATGCACTGAATACTTTTAAACTTAACAAAGCAATACTTTGAAAATAAACTCAGTTTGTAGAGTGTATCACCTGAATAATGTGCTTTTGAACTCACTCTATCAAATTAAGTTGCATACCTTTATTGTTTTCCCTCAGTTCTCTGTCTTCTGCGTATGCCATTCCCGCCCTCACCACACACAACACCTCGTTTTGTGACCCAGTGGAGGCTACAGAAATGTTTTTACTTCTAGCTTCAAAATGTTTTTCTTTCTCTATACTCATATACTTGTAAATACGTTTCTTTTTGCAATTTTAAGTTGTCTAATTATTTTTGCATGTTTTTTCTTCCAACTAAATTATGTACTTATTACTTGAATAGAGAACTGACTTACGGGGTTTTGATTAGGCTGTGACTAGGCATATAGTGGACGTTCAAACTTATTTTGATGGTCATATAAAAGCTCTCTAATTCAGAGTTGTAACTTACTCTAAACAATATTATTTTTTATGCCTCTCCTCCCTTCTATCCATGTCCATCAGGTACATTTTGTCTAAAATATACTAAGGTCTTAGAAATTTAAATAAAATTAATTCCATAAAGAATCTAGATAATAAAATCCCTGGTGAGTGGTAGTGGTATAGATTGTTTCCTTCCTTTTTTATATTTCTGATGTAAATTTTACAATCTTGATTGACCTCTGAGAGCTATTAATTTTTGTTATGAAACTTTAGTGTGTAGTTATTTAATATGCCAGTTTATTTCAGTGTAGATTTAGGTGACTTGAAATAGAATTGGCATCAAGCAAAGCTAATGAGGGATAGTTTCTGTTTAAAGACGAGGGTTTAAAAAAATAAAAAAAGAAGAGGTTTTAGTGAATGAGCAATGTAGTGTTGACAAAGCTAGAAACTAAATCAAATGTTTTTTGTAGATCCAGGTCCAGAGAGCATCGCCGACATCGATCTCGCTCCATGTCACGGGAACGGAAGAGGAGAACTCGATCCAAATCTCGGGAGAAACGCCATCGCCACAGATCTCGCTCAAGCAGCCGAAGCCGCAGCCGCAGCCACCAGAGAAGTGGGCACAGTTCTAGAGACAGGAGCAGAGAGCGATCCAGGAGGAGGTACTGAGGTGTCCATAAGAGGACATGGAACTAACTACCTTTATGGTTTAGAATTGGAATACTATTGGATTGAAACTTGCATCTGGTAATATGTACACATTTGTGTGTGGGTGTGTAACAGTTTTTCCCCTGATTGTATGGGTAGTTCAGAAAGAATATACTGATGAGCCAGAGTAAGAAATTTGGAACAAATATGTGCAGAGGTTATTGCTTTTCTCTGCGTAGTGTGTCTTGTGGGGGCGGGGGGAAAGTACTTTATGGGCAAATAATTTTAGGTACCAAGAGTCTTAGAATTTTTCTGTATGTATTGATGAATTGGGGGCTCTGAGAAGTCCTTTAATTAAGAGTTGTTCAGCTTTGTTTTACATTCTTTTCCATACTTCTTTGAGCTGGTGCACTTCTGCAGAGCAGACACATTTCTAATGTATTCTTCTTTAATCTGCACAATAGGTATGCATTGTTATGTACCGTTAGTTTGACAGGGCAGATTCAGAATCTTAAGGAATTTAAGACTTCTTGGCATGAAAATTCAAAAGGTACAAGGACTGCAGACCCAGGTAAAGTAAGTTTAAGGACCTGGATAGTTAATTGGGACAAATAATTAGAATGTAGTGAGTGGAGCCTTAGCACTCAAGTCTTTGTAGACCAAACTCCCAAAGCCTCTCAGGTCAAATGATGGCCCTTAAGCTAGTTAATTTCTATGGAACATAAACCATGTTTCAGGTTGTTTTTTTTTCTTGACGACTCTTCTTAAGTATATATATGATTTTTTGAGTGCCTAGTCCTTGCTAGTCTAGTCTTTTTTTTTTCTCTTTTGATTTTTAGAGAGGGGAAGAGATAGGGAGAGAGAGAACATCGATCAGCCACCTCCTGCATGCCCCCCACTGGGGATTGGGCCCACAACTGGGCATATGCCCTGACCGGGAATCGAACTGGCGACCTCTTGATGCATGGGTTGACACTCAACCACGGAGCCACACTGGCTGGGCCCTTACTAGTCTTAAATTGTGTATGGATTACTTCACATAAAGCCCATAACACAATCCACAGCAAACTGTTTAAACTTTCTGGGGTTTTTTTGTTTTTGATTTTAATCCCCATAACCAGCCATTCCCTGGATCCACTCACAAGCTGAATTAGTTAATAGGCTATCAATCAATATTTATTATGTTCTTGCCTTGTTCCAAGTAGGTCTTTCCCCCAAGCTTTATGGAGGTATAATTGACAAATAAAATTCTGAGATATTTCAAGCGTACAATGTGGTGATTTGATGTACATATACATTATGAAAGGATTCCCACCATTAGTTAATTTCATCACCTCACATATTTCTCTCTCTGTGTGTGTTTGTGTGAGAACATTTAAGTTCTACTCTCTTAGCAAACCAAGCAGTTCTTAAGGTGATTTTAATTAGGAAGAATTATATACTTTCTACTGCAGGTCTAGTAAAATGAATACAAGGTAATTGAGCAACTTTATTCAAGTGAGTTAGAACACAGAACTAACATCTTCGACAATAGTCTGATATAAAACCTAGCATACAGTTGTCCCTCACCAAGTGCTAAACTGTATATCACAGAGTAACTAATACAGGAGTTTAGATGTGGGAAGTTCCAGAGCAATAAAAAATGGCTTCAGGTAGTGGATAAAACTGGAATAAAGTGGGTATCATTTGAATAGATTAAACCAGGTAGGAAAAAGATGGAGTATACAATATCAGGCAAATGCAGAGAATGAGCAGGGAATTTATGAGGGACAATTCCTGATAGTGTAATTTATAGCCTCTTATCTCAGATTCTTAAAACTGTAGGAACAGTGCAATACCCAGAAAAATGCATTTAAAATTTTTTTTCCATGAGTCTTAACTGCACTGTAAATTTTGGGAGTCATTCTGCTGGTTGATGGAAGGTCTAGAAAATTTCTCTGGAGAGCCTGCTCACCTTTTATTGTTTCTGGTGTCTCTCACCTCTTAAATGTCTTTACTGGCGGTGGGGATGGAAGGGACACTCATCTGAGATTGTTGTCCTAGTCCCTAATGCTTCCTGCATTTGTGAGGTTGTATAGGAAAATTTCCCACCATGTACATGATACCTCTACTACATTTTCAGCATGTTCCTGAAGAAGATTATTTTTGTAAAACTATTAAAAGTTTTGTTTTTCTCTAGAGCACTTCAAATCTTGAAATTCAGATTACACTCTTTCAAAGCAACAGTCTTTGTTTTTACCAAAAATGATCAGACAGTTGTTATTAAAACCTACATGTTGTTATATATATGATAACAAGGTTATTGCTACATATTTGAGTTGAATTTTCAAGGTAAAAGTCTCAGTTAAGAGTCTTTAATGATTAGTTGTTCTCCTGCCCCTGCCGAAGTACTGGTCTCTGGCATGAGAGGATTCTGTTTGTGACCTTTCCCTTGCAACAGTTACCCTTGGCAAATGAGGGCCATTTGTTTTCTATGTCCTATACAATTTGCATTTTATGTCCTATATCATTATTTTAGCTTCCTGCTCTTTTCTAACAGATAGTGCAGATCCCAGAGTCAGGCTACTTGGGTTCAGTGGCCTGGGCCACGTAATCTGATTATCCTACTTTTCTTTCCCCATCTACTAGGTAGAAATAGTAAGAGTACCTGCTTTATTAGGATTATTGGTAGTTTTAGTGAAATAGTGAATGAAACTGATTGTGTATAGACATTGTAGTCTCACAAAGCATTAGTTTATGCTCATCTCATAGTTGATTTTCAGTTATTATTACTGACCTCTTCGTCATCATCTCTCTTCATAGTCCATTCTTACAAAGATTTATAGATAGGATTAGTGTAACCAGATGTGCACTGTGTGGTGTTTACTTTTTTTTTTTAAACACATCATTTTTAAATTTAGCTTATTAAAACCTTAATTAAGCAGAATGCTCAAAGTTGACATTACTCTATCTTTTAATCTTTTTGGTTTAATCCTCCTAAACTATATCTCTAAAACCAAGTAAAGCAGTAAATTTTTCCTGCCTTAGAAGTTGAAAGTATTAATCAGGCCTCAGATCCAAATTCTGAACATGGGTTAAGTGAGATAATTGATGTAAAAGTATCATGTCACCTGTAAAGAATAAAATAAACATAATATGTGTTACTGATTCATTCTAGATGTTGAAAGTATAGAATATTTCATATTAAGTCTGATTCCGTAATGTTCTTTGGTTTTTCTGCTACTGAATCTCTGATATGAACTTGTTTTGTTATTATTTACCTTACTGAAGTTGGGTGTGGGAACAGAGAGGCGGTATTAAGAAACAATCATGGTTAATCAAGACTTACTATAGTGTGATTATCTTCCTCTGTCTTCCATTCTGATTTTTTTCTGTTGGTTGAATGAGCTAACTCAGGAGGAGTGAAGCATATTTTTAAAATAATAAATGGTTACTATGTTATTAAATGAGTAGTTCTCTTATCTAAGTTGCCTGCCCGCCAAATCTGGACCCTTAGCCTGTTTTTGTTTAGGCATCAAGCTATGGGTGGTTTTTACATTGATAGAGGGTTGATAAAAAGAAAAGGAAGAAGAATATACCACAGAGACTGTATGTGACCTCAGCACCTAAAATATTTATTCTCTGACCAGACAGCAAAAAAAACAGTTTGCAGACCCCCTGTTTAAGACATTGATTTTTCATCCTATTTGGGATCTACATTTCTATTTTAAAATTAGATAATACCTTTTGCTTGTTTAAGGTATTGTCTATAATTCTTACATTAAATGCATTGCTATGAATTGGAGAAGCTTCCCTGGTTACTTCTGAGACAGTGAGAAGTAATCATCATTATTATTGTAGCATATGGTTTTTTGACCCTTAGCTGTTTGTTTTCACCCATGTCCTTGTTTTAGACCCTTATCAAATATGGTAGTGCTCTTTTCTGTCAGAAAACTGACTCCTGTCTTTCTTGGGTGTATTCTGTATATCTTCAGCTATCAATACCTTAATATTGATCCGATTCTTTCACTTGGATTTTGGGTTTCCCAACACATTTTGCTCCTCAAATTAATATTTTTCAGATCCTCAAAAGAAAGATTCAGAGACCAAGACTTAGCATCACGTGACAGAGACAGGAATTCAAGAGACAGATCACCTCGTGACAGAGATCGAAAAGATAAGAAGCGGTCCTATGAGAGCGCTAATGGCAGATCAGAAGACAGGAGGAGCTCTGAAGAGCACGAAGCAGGGGAGATATAATTAGCTGTGTACATATCCTCAATCCTTAAGCTTCCTATGGAGTTACATACTGTTGTTTAGTTTACAGCTGTTCGGGGTGACACAGGGAGCAGTTCCAGACACCGATCCAGCTAGGCTAGATGTACAGGATCTAACTTGATCTGAACCGAACTGGTTTTCCTTGATGAAGCCTAGACTACATCCATAGTTTCTGGTGAACCTGTGATACAATTCTGAAAGTACAGTTTTATATAAGATGCGAACGTCTTTATTCTTATTAGTAGGAGTGATAGTGGACGGATTGTGTAATTTGCCTTGGGTTTTTTGAACATTTGTAAAATGCTGTCTTCCTTTCTAGTCCAAACAGCGCAGCTTTGGGAGTTTTCCTTTTTAATTCTTCTTCCTCTGACTTTTGTATCCCCTAATATCTCCCATTCTCTAATTATAAGAGAAGTGTGGGGGGGCGATATAACTTCTGTTCTAAGGTTCTGTTCCCATTAATTACTAGCTGATTACAGTTCAGAGCATTTATACTGGAATGTGTGCTGGAGAAATTTAAATACTGGGTGGGTTTTTGTTTGTTTTAGAGTTGAAAGTTGAACAGCTGTTGCATTACATACTTTGCTTTTTTATTGACAATTTGAAATCAAACAAGTCTTGATTTTTCTGTTGTATTGAATTGCTGCGTTCAGGGTGTTTTGAAAAGGGGGTGGGGGCAGGGACTTTTTCATAAGCACTTCTTGTTTTATTTTGTGTGTGTGGAATATAAAGGCTACACCCTTATTGTAAAAAATAATAATAAAATGAAAGAAACAATCACCACCACCATCATTAAACTGTAACTTGTCTAGTAAATTGTCACTAAAACTATTTGCTGTGGGCATTTCTTCTATTCTGTTATATCATTAATAGTGCCTTACTGTGCAAGGCACCAAAGGAAATCAGTATATACTTGCGAAGATTCAAGATGAACTGTTCTACCTGGGTCCTTGCTGACTGTATTCCAGCTGCTTCAGGGCTGCCTATAACAACCGCTATCGAGACGGACTGGACCTCCAGAAGAAATTGGGGTTTTCATTTGTTTTTGTTTTGTATTTCTTCTCATTCAGCAAACTGAAATAAAAACATGGTATAACCAATGTAATGAGACTAACGATTTCTGCATTGAAAAGCTTATATAGCCCTGGCCAGTGTGGCTCAGTGATTATAGCACAGACCCAAGAATCGAAGCGTCTCGGGTTCGCTTCCCAGTCAGAGTCATGTACCGGGGTTGCAGGTTTGATCCCTGGCCCTGGTTGGGGTGCTTGCAAGAGGCAACCAATTGATTGATTGCTTCCTTCACATCCATGTTTCTCTCTGCCTCTCCCTCCCTTTCTTTCTTCCTCCCTTCTCTCCAAAAATCAATGGAAAAAATATCTTCAGATGAGGGTTAACCAATAAACAAACAAGCTATATATACCCATTACAATTTAAATAGGTATCACTTGTGATTCTAGAAAGTCTGAGGAACAAAAATACATTAAATAAGGAAGTTTAGTGTCTGTGAGTATAGTTAACTAAGACCACCTTTCAAGAATTAGTCTTCATTTGTTCCCCTAAGTGTGACAGGTGGATGTTCCAGAGGACCGTGGGCCTCACAATGAATTTATCGAATGTACATCTGAGACCTGTTTGCATCATTGATTGCTGAGGAATTGTTTTGTATCTACTTTGTTCCTAGTGGTCTGCACTGTTCTTTTAAATCCTTACAAGCACGTTGGATTTAGTACCTTGGGATGTGGAGTAAGATCAAGTTTAAGTTGGTAGGTTCAAGAAAGACTGTCTGGGACCTGACCCATTATGGCTAGTGATATATCTAAGTTAGATACCAGACTCCCAAGACATGATTGGAAACTTTTAGCATTGTTTGTATACTGTGTGTCTAAAGAGCAAGGCCTCTGGCAACCTTGTTCTCACATCTCTGTGACCCAAATTTGGTTTTGCTCTCACTTGGGAACCAGCTAAAGTGGGCAGAGTAATGACATTCCTGATTGGCTCAGGCCTGGGCCCCTGAACCAAACATTGACCCAGGAGGCTCAGATTGCAAGATTGGCCCGATTGGCTTCGGTGTGTCAGGTGCTCATCCACAGCCCCAAACAGGCCACGACCAGACCACATGGCTGCTCCACGGGTTGGAGGCAGGATGGTGGGGCAGATGAGGGAGAGAACCCCAGTGTCCCCAGGGATTCCTTTGCCTGGACACACTTGAATGTTGGGAGCTAGGCCGAGTGCTGGGGTGGAGACCGGGCCTTGTTTTCTGCATCCTATGAGTAGGAGCTTGGTGTGGAAACGGCCTGTGTTCAACAACTATGGAATGAGTTACTGAAGTGCCTCATTGTTTCCTGTGTGCATTCATCTACGTGATCTCATTCGATTCCTATTTCACACCCATTGTACACGGGAGGGAGCCGAGAGTATTGATCAAACTCACAACAGAGTTGGCCAACATTTTTTTTTTTTTTTTTAATCCTCACCCGAGGACATTCTTCCATTTTTTGTTCAGATAGAGCGGGAGGGAGAGAGAGAAACATCGACGTGAAGGGACACATTGAGGGGCTGCCACCCGCACGACCATCCAGGGCCAGGGACAAACTACAACCGAGGTACGTGCCCTTAGCGGGAACCGAACCTGGGTCTCTCTCTACCGCAGGCTGACACTCTAACCGCTGAGCCAAACCGGCCAGGGTGGCCAACATCTTTTTGATTCTGAGCCTGAGGCTCTTTCTGGCATAACAGTGTGACAGGTGTGTCCTGGGCTGGGAGAGATGAGATGGGACAGACAGGAATGTCCCAAGAGGAGGGAACAAAGAAGGCCCAAGTGAAGGTGGAATGGTCACTACATAGCACTGTACCACATAGCCTCACTTGTCCTCTGCCTCTGAGGCAGAGAATAACAGATAAAAAGCCCGTATTTACCCAAACTGGGATATATGAATTACATGTTTTAGTTCCTTGGCTTTTCTTTATTTTTGTTAATCCTCATGGATTGGTTGCCTCCTGCACAAGCCCAGCCAGGGATTGAACCTGCAACCCAGGTACATGCCTTTGACTGGGAATCAAATTTTTGGCCCTTTCATCTGCAGGCCGAAGCTCTAACCGGCCAGGGCTGATTTTTCTTTTAGAGAGTTTGATACAACTTACTTGAAACCAATGTTCAAATGTATGAGGTGATAAAATATGAAGTATCCGGTGTCATGAAGTATTCCTGTCAAAAAGGTTTAACTGAATCAAGTCTGACTTCCAGTTTCCAGGAGATGAGGCAAGCCCAGCATAATTGTGCTTCTACAAGACAGCCGTCCTGGTCTCTTCAAAAAGGGAGTGTTGCCCTGGCCGGTTTGCCTCAGCGGTTAGAGCATCGGCCTGCGGTCCAGAGAGACCCGGGTTCAGTTCCCGCTAAGGGCGCGTACCTCGGTTGCAGTTTGTCCCCGGCCCTGGTTGGTCGTGTGGGTAGCAGCCACTCCATGTGTCCCTTTCATGTCAATGTTTCTCTCTCTCCGTCTCTCTCCCTCCGACTCTATCTCAACAACAACAACAACAACAAAGGAAAAATGTCCTTGGGTGAGGGAAAAAGGGGGGGGAGTGTTATAGCCAGTGCCAAAGTTGCACAGTGGTTTAGAGCATTGGCTCTTGCACTGAAGGGTCCTGGGTTTGATTCCTGGTCAGGGCATATATCAGGGTTGCAGGTTGGATCCCCTGTTGGGGTGCATACGGGAGGCAACCCAAAGCCATTTCTCTCATTGATGTTTCTCTCCTCTCTCAAATCACTAAAAACATATTCTTGGGTGAGGATTAAAAAATAAATGTTACAGAAAAAAGTTCTAAGTTAAAAGACATGAAAGAACCGCCCTGGCCAGTTTGGCTCAGCGGTTAGAGCGTCGGCCTGCGGTCCGGAGAGACCCGGGTTCGGTTCCCGCTAAGGGCACGTACTTCGGTTGCAGTTTGTCCCCGGCCCTGGTTGGTCGTACGGGTGGCAGCCACTCAATGTGTCCCTTCACGTCGATGTTTCTCTCTCTCTCTCCCTCCCACTCTATCTGTACAAAAAATGGGAAAATATCCTCTGGTGAGGATAAAAAAAAAAAAAAAAAAAAAGACATGAAAGAACCAATAACAATGCTTAAACCCTGACTTAATTTAAAATAGCAGAACAACAGGGAGTTGGAACACGGATTGAAAATAAAGTTAATGCTAATTTACTAAGTGTAATGGTGGAATTGCAGTCTCGTAGAATATCCTTATTTTGAGGAGATGCTTGTTAGGTATTTACGGGTGAAATGTCTTGATGTCGGTAGCATTTGAAATGGTCCAACTTGATATTTACACGTAAGTAGAATAAATGTGGCAAAAGGTTAACAGTTGTTGGATCCTAGTAGAGAGCGGATGGGTGTTGCATCACTTTATAAATTCTGTATATTGAAACACCCTGTTTCACAAAGTTGGGAGATAGATTTTTCCATTTAAATCATCACTTAAAAAATAGTCTGTCCTGGGCCCAGCCAGTGTGGCTCAGTGGTTGAGCAATGACCCATGCACCAAGAGGTCACCGGTTCAATTCCCAGTCAGGACACATGCCCAGGTTTTGGGGCCAGTCGATGCTCTCTCTCATTGTTGTTTCTCTCTCTCCCTCTCCTTTCCTCTCTCTTTCAAAATCAATAAAGGAAAAAAAAAATCCGCCCTACGGGCATGGGTGTTTTAGGTGGGGTTTCTCTGAATACAGTCTGTGGACCATTGGTGTCAGAATCACAAAAGAAAATACACGAATGGTCTGTGAGTTCTGCAAGAAGCTCAACATTATCAGTCATCAGGAAAATGCAAATGAAAACCACACAGATCCCACGACAGTGACCAGGACCGCTGAGCGGAAGACGGGCAGCACCCAGTGCTGATGAGGACCCAGAGCCGCTGCAATGCTTGCATTCTGGCGGCACTGTACAATGGCTGTTCCAGAAAACAGGTTGGCAGTTTCTTACAGCTTAAACATATCTGTACCATACAACCCCAAGGTAATGCTACCCCCAAGGTACCGAAAAGAAATGAAAACCTATGTCCACACAAAAACTTGTATTGAAACGTTCAAAGCAGCTATATTCGTAACAGCCCCAAACTGGAGATGACTAATATCACCAACTAGAGAGAAGATGAACAAATCCTGATGCGTCACTACAAAGCAAAGACCTACCATAAATGCAGCAACATGGATAAGTCTTTAAAACCTTACACTCAGCTGAAAAGCAGATACCAGAGTATGTGCTGTGTGGTTCTCTTTTATATTAAATCCTAGAACAAGCTAAACAACCTGGAGAGACAATGCAGATTTGCTCGGGGTCGCGGGTGCGGGAGGAGAGAGGGTTGGCTGCAAAGGGAAACGAGGGGACCTTTAGAGTGTTGGCGCTATTCCGTATCTTGATGGGCAATGGTTACACAAGTGCCTACATTTGTCAACAGGTACTCCTGAGATGGGTACACTTTCTTTGGTGCAAATTACAAAATATCGATACTTTTTTATTTTAGTCACAGGATGGGCTCTTTTAGACAGGATTTCTCAAAAGGTGGTCTCTGGCCCCTCTGCGTGAGCATCACCAAGAAACTCACGTGGAGGCCCTGACCCACTGAATCAGAAACTCAGTACTTGGGGGCAGGGGGCAGTGAGTTCCACGTGCTCTGTACGGGTGACCCCGACAGACCAGATGTCCAGGGCTGTTCCTCGGAGGCCGCCGCGGGCTCTGGGTCGGCCGTGTCCCCGGGGGCCGCCGCGGGCTCTGGGCCGGCCGTGTCCCTGGAGGCCGCCGCGGGCTCTGGGCCGGCCGTGTCCCCGGGGGCTGCCGCGGGCTCTGGGCCGGCTGTGTCCCCGGGGGCCGCCGCGGGCTCTGGGTCGGCTGTGTCCCCGGGGGCTGCCGCGGGCTCTGGGCCGGCCGTGTCGGAGTCTGGTCTCCAAAGCTCTGCGGAACGAGCCAGTGCTGGTGGCAACATTACTAGATGTGACTTTCAAACCATAGCAGCTGGCAGTGCCCCGTGGGGAAGGAGACTAGAGGAATTACTCAGAGGAATTCCGTGCAGACCAACCTGCTGTGTAACTTTTCCAGCTTCTGTTTCATAGCGAGGGAAAGACACGCTCTGAAGGGGAGGCCAGCGTTTCCTAATACAGCCCCCAGATAACCCATTAGCCCCCTGATTACTGCATACCCAGTGACCAGTTTTCGTTTAAAAGGTCAGCCCTGCCCTGACCTGTGTGGCTCGGTTGGGCATACTTCCATGCGCGGAAAGGTTGCTGGTTCAGTTCCCGGTCAGGGCACATGCCCGGGTTGCCGACTTGATCTCCAGTAGGGGGCGTGCTGGAGGCGCCGATCCATGTTTCTCTCATTGATGTTTCCTTCTCCCTTCCTCTCAAAGAATCAATTATTTAAAAAAACCAGTCTTCCCACCTAGCTGGTGTGGCTCAGTGGTTGAGCGTCAACGCATGCACCAGAAGGTCGTTGGTTCCATTCCCGATCAGGGCACATGCCCAGGTTTGGGGCCAGATCCCCAGTGGGGGGCATGCAAGTGGCCAATTGATGTTCTCTCTCATCGATGTTTCTACCTCTCTCTCCCTTCCTCTCTCTCAAAACCAATAAAGAAAAAAAAATCAGTCACCTGACAACTTGATTCCTTTTCTTTGGAGACAGGTTACGTTTCAACAGGTCAGTGACTTTTTACCTGGGTATACTCAGCCCCACCCAGATCAAGATCTAGACTATTTCCAGCACCTAGATGTTCCCTGGAGCCCCTTCCCAGTCATTGGTCACTATTCTGACTTGCGTCACCATCGATTAGTTTTAAGGCCACCATTTATAATTATTTTTGCTGTTTCTTCTGGTACTTATCTCGTTATTTCTAAACAGTAAGCTTACACTTGGAATTTTTGGTTTGCCAACTTTGGACAGTAGCTAGTAACGTTCTAATAACTTCACTCTCCTTTTCCCTTCTTCACCAAGAAAAGCTAAGTAACTTGCTGATGTCCACCCCTCACCACCACTCTGGGCACCTCCAGGATCCCCACGCCATGGTGCTTGACCCTGCAGCTGGGAGGCGCCCGAGCACTCCTGATGTTAAGCCAGCCTGACGCACCAGGCACAGGACGTCTGCTGAGGGCTTTGGAGTAGGTTACAGTCAAACACGCTATCAAGCTCTGGGCTCATCTGCAGTTGGAATGAGAAGCCACGAGAAGAGAGTGCTTCTGGGACTTTTATTACTTGTCAGGTGTGCACCCTTTAGGACTCTCCATCTCTCTCCCCGACGCCCGTGTGCACAGGCTCCTGTTTTAAATGGACTGGACAGGTTTCTCCAAGGGGGATTTGGCGGCATGGTTTGGCTTTAGAAAGGGAAGTTGCTTTGCATAGGACAGTTGTGCTGAATGCTCAGCACCAAGGTGAGACGCAGGTAGTCTGTCGTTGGAGAGGTCTTCACTGGACTCAGCACAGGCTGGCACCCCCACAGCCGTGGGAGAGCTGCCCCAAACCTCCCCGCGTTTCTCCGACCTTTCTCACTCGGACCCCAGGCTTTGCAGGAACCTCCACGCACCACGGCGGCCTCTCTGCATCGTCCCAGCCACGGCCGTCAGTGCAGCCTCCCTCTCCCCCGGGCCCCGCCTCACTGCTGTGGCACTGGTCAGCCTGCTGGCTGTGTGCCCAGCTGCCTGGAAACGGCACTTGTGGCAATGATGTCACTGCTGACAAACCCTCTGGCCCCAAAACAGGGGGACAGTCACTTCGTGGCTGGATGAGAACCCAGGTAGGGCTCACCCGTGACCACTAACCCTTTCCGCTCCTCTAGGGCAGGGGTGCGTTGTGACTGCAGGAAGGGGATAGAATGGCAGAGGGCCATTTCAAGAAGGGAGAGACCGAGGCTCAGAAATGCTGAAACAGAAACAAAACCTCAAGGTCTCAATAAGTCCTCTTCAGCAGCCGGAGATGAAAATGGGCCACAAAAGGCCTGTCCCCCAGAGTGATCTTCCCACGACAGGTCCAGCTCCAGGTCCACTCAGGCAGGGCGCCTGCAGCAGGGAGCACCCAGAAAGAGGCTGCCCCAGCTCCCCCTTGGCCTCTTCTGGGGAGCGGGGACGGCTGCATGTCCCCAACAGGCTCAGAATGGGCAGAACCTGTCACTTGGTCCCCTTGGCACAGACCCAGGGTCGTGAAGAGGTGCAGTCCAAAGCCACGAGCTTGCCTCCTTCCAGGCCCCCGCACTTGAAACCTGGCTGGTCCTTGTCTTCCTCTAGGAGTCTGGGGAAGGACGACAGAAGGAGAGGTGCTCAGGGTGACTGGCTTCGGCTACCCACTGGCCAGGCCCAGGGTCTGGCAAGAGCCCTGGGGCAGGAGTCGTATGGATGCCCCTGGCTCGTCAGCTGTGTAGCAGTGGGTGAACCACCAAACCTCTCTGAGTGGCACATCCCCTGTCTGTAGAATGGGGTGACAGTCCTGCTTGGGTGAATGTGCTAGGGCTCCCAAACAAGGGACGGGGTGACAGGGACTAAACAAAACCAGGCCGCGCATGGGGGTGGGGTCAGCCGCGAGGTGCCCAGGCTGGGGTGGAGCAGGGGACTGAGTTTGGGGAGATGGTGGGTCCAGGACAGCGGTGGGGGGGGGGCATCTACGGGGGGAAGGCCTCTAGCCCTGCTCTGGTCCCTGCTGAGATGTCACTCTGGTCATACTGGGGACAGAAGGGGACCCCACCCACCCAGGCCCACAGTCACTCACAGCTGGGATGGCAGGGGGGCCCCGTCGATCCAGCGCCAGCCCTGGGGGTCTTGCCGGGCCCCCACCCAGGAGTGCTTGGTGATGGGGTATCTACCCAGGAAGTCCTGAGGGGAGAAGCAGCTGGTCACTCTTCTCTGGACCCTGGCTCGCCTCACCTGGGCTTCTTCAAGTTCCCAGCTCGCTAGGCCAGAGAAGCAACTCCACTCAACCCAGCTCGCCCAAACGCCATCAGATGCTTGCTGGCTGCCAGGCACTGCGCTCAGGGTGGGGACCAGAAACGGGGCGATCCGTTCTCAGCCCTCAAGGCAAGGCGATGTGAATGCCAATCCCCATGGAGCAAGCGCGGTGGGTATCGGTATGGAGTGGACAGAGGAACAAAGAGGGTTCAAGGAGGGGGGGCGGCATGCGCAAGGCTGGGAGGCTGCACAGAGAGCAGCCAGTGCGGAGGCGGGGAGTGTGGATTAGGCTGCAGGGGCCGCCTGGGAGCAGATGGTCAACAACACAATTGCCAGCAAGAGCCTCAGTTACATTGTATCAGTTCAGTGCAATATTATTAAGGCCATTAGAAAAAAAGTAGGAAGCCGTGGAGCACTGTGGGGGAAAGCTATAGCCCGTGAAGGTAGTATGTGCAGGGTCACAGTAAGTGGAAAAGCTGAATCACGGTTGTGGCTTGATTATAATAATGAAAAAATATGTACGTACATGTACACAAGCATGAAGAACAGCCGGAATGAAAACAAGTGTGTTAGCTTTTAGGATGATTATTTCTTTTAACTATGTATCCTTGATGTCATCTTTTAAACAATGAAGTAAAGCAAAAAGTATTTTAAAAATTTCAACTTGTTTTTAAGTTGCAGTTCACAGCGGGTGGGGGGGGGCATCTGTAACAAAAATAAATTAATAAAAATTGCAAATAAATAAATACAGCCAGTTCAAAGAAAAATAAAACAAAATAAATTGCAGTTCAAATGTATTTTTTTTTTTTCTTTTTTGGTACGTGCCCCTAGCGGGAACTGAATCTGGGACTATCTGATCTGCATGCTGATGCTCCAACCGCTGAGCCAAACCGGCCAGGGCAGCTCAAGTGTGTTTAAAAGGTGTTTCAACATTGTAACTCCCGGTGCGATGCAGCCAGTCCACACCCGCTAGTCTTACTGCAACGTAATGACACTGGTCCTGTCCCTTGGATGGGTGATTCCACTCTGGGGAGTAAATCCAAGAGCATGGGGGTGGGGTGGGGAATTTACTCAAAGGTAACACAGTACCATTCATAAAGAAAAAGCGGAAGTCACTCACACGCCCAGCAGTCAGGAAGTACCTAGACCAATGATGGGATATGAACAGGATGGGAAAGTGCAGGGCTGTTAAAGATGACAAGTACATAGAAAATGTAGTTATGCAAGAAGATGCACATACAAAATCACGCCAAGTAAAAAAGGCAGATCACAGCAAGTGCACCTCGTTCACAATGCCAAGAGGCCTGTATTCACGTCAGTGCAGCGGGATGGTATACATGAATTTAAGGAAAATGATAAAAGACAAAACCTCTGTATTTAACCCTGGGAATTAGCAAGTAAGCACTGGAGTGATGACCATCCCTTGGTGCCACTCCCAAAGGTCCTTTCCTGTGGGGACACTGTGAACTTGGTAAGCCAGACTTATTCACATGGACCACGAGAGCCCAGCACACGGTGGGCCAGCTCAGCGAAACTGCCTCCCTGTGATCCTGCCAGTAACCACCAAGGGCCCCGGGTAACATTGGGGCCACCGTGCCAGCCATGCGCCCCAGCGGTGTGAGCACACATCCATCTTCTCCCCAGGGAAGCACCAGACAGTCAACAGCTGAAAGAAGCCAGAAGCAACCTCCAAGTAACCTTGCTAACCTTACCCTTCTGAGAGCCCAAAGATCAGACTGCATATGAAAGCGGAGAGTGGTGGCCATGTTCTCTCTGGCTCCATGCCACTGGCCGGTGCCGGCGGGCAGGGCTGGGTGGGACGCGCTGGAGGCGAGAAGGAACCTGGGCTGGCCCTGACGTGTGAGTCAGACCGCTGCATGGGCGCATGGATCTGGCCGTGCACCGTCCTCCTGGGAGCCATCAGCTGCTGGCTGGGGGAGGTGCACCAGGGCTCAGAGGGGGGCTGTCCCTGCAGAGAATAGAGCTTTGGGGCCAGGCTGCCCCATATTCAAATTCTGGTTCTGTAACTTATAAGGTCTATGACCTAAGTCCGATTACCCAACCTTCAGAGCTTCAGCATGGTCCTCTGGAAAATGGGGACATTTGTAATGAGGTTTGAGATAGTGTGTATAAAGCCCGGGGCATAGAGTACACACTCATTAAGTAGCCCGTGGGCTGAGAAAGCCCGTCTCTGCTGGGTGGTGTGCAAAGCTTTGTGCCCTGCCCCCACACGACCTCATCTGATGCTTATGGCAATGCCAAGAGGACCCTGTCCTTTCTGTCCTAGCCCTCTGAGCCTCCTGGTGACAGGAGTCATGGCCTGTCCCCACCCAGCAATACCCACTTCGTTCGGCTCTTCATTAACCTGTAGACCCCATTAACCGGTTCTCACTGTTAGCAAAAATGATGGTGTGAGAAAAACATTGTCAAGAGTTATCATAGCCCTGGCCGGTTCAGCTCAGCGGTTAGAGCGTCGGCCTGCGGACCAGAGTTCCAGTTCGGTTCCCGCTAAGGGCATGTACCTCGGTTGCAGTTTGTCCCCGGCCCTGGTTGGGGTCGTGTGGGTGGCAGCTAATCGATGTCTCTCTCTCACATCGGTGTCTCTCTCTCTCTCTCTTCCCCCTTCTCTCCCTCCTGCTCTATCTGAAGAGAAATGCAAAAAATGTACGTGGGTGAGGATGGAAAAAATAAAAGTTATAAATAAATTCCAGAAACTTCCAATGGAAAGGACAGCTCTGTAATGACCACACAGTGATCTCGGGGCCTCACCTCCTCTTGAGGGTGAGGGTGCGTCTCTGACTTTCCCACCAGCGTGGGGAGGGAAATTCTAATCCTGAGCAGCATTTTACTTGAATCTTCTATTTTACATTCTAAAAGCCAGGCAGATTATTTTCTATGCCTTCATATGTTTTTCTAAGTTGGGGTAAAATGTACAGTCGATGGATACATGTGAGGGAGCTTCTTCCCTCCGCCCTGCAAAAAGTGGCTACTGCACCGATGGCGAGTGACTCTGAGATGGCACCGGTGGTCCTCCACCTTCCCTCCTCTCCTCCCTGAGAGCCAGGCCAGTTCCCGAGGACGAGCAGTTTCTCCTGCCGCCGCGCTCCCTGCACCGTGGATGTCCCTGGGGTCCGCGCACCTGTCCTGTCCCCACCCCTGGCCTGGCGCCTCCTGGAGCTCCCTGGTCCAGGCCTGGGGAGGATTCCAGAGCTCCACAGCCGTCATATGCCGGCTTTAACTGTCTGGGACCCAAATCTTCGCTTGGGTCTTTTTGCAAGGAGCTCTTAAGAAGCTTTTTGTTGTTGTTAATGCTCACCAGAGGATATTTTTTTCATTTATCTATTTATTTTTTTTGGTACGTGCCCTTAGCGGGAACCGAACCTGGGACTCTCTGGTCTGCAGGCCGATGCTCCAACTGCTGAGCCAAACCGGCCAGGGCTCCATTGATTTTTAGAGAGGGTAGAAGGGAGGGGGAGGGGGAGAGAGAGAGAAAGAGAGACACACTGACTGGGGCCAGGGATTGAACCTGCAGCCCAGGTACATGCCCTTGACTGCGAATCAAACCCGAGACCCTGTGGTCCTCGGCCCAGCGCTCTAACCACTGAACCACACCAGTCAGGGGCAGAAGCTCCTTTTGTGGAAAGAGCTTATCCAGGCTCTGCGATATGTTTGCTGAATATTAACTTGTGTTTCAGTTGGTTGATCCTGTGCGCTTAGTTGTTTTTTTTTTTTATCTTGATCTCGAGCTTCATTTGCAATTCGGATAGTTAAACCGGGCTCTCCTTTTGAGGACCCACCAGCCAGGAGGGGGCCATTTGCTCTGCCGAGGTCCAAGGTCCAAGGTCATTCTGGATTGAAACTGTCTGATGAGGGGTTGGGAGGCAGGGACCCTTTATCACTGGCTTTCTGATGCCCTGTGCTCAGTGGGTCGGTCTCAGGAAATGGTAAGATTAGGCTGGGCTGCTAGGTCCCAGCCCCGCTAGTCCCCTCCCCAGCCTCAAGCACTCTGTGGGCACCCAGCTGGGTTCCCCCGTCTTCAATTTGCAGATGTGATGGGGCAGGTTCGCGATGCCAGGGCCTGGTTTCTCTGCCCAGTGTAATCTCTTCTCGCAAAGAGAAAAACCCAGGGCCCAGCCCAGGCCCCGGGCGACACTGCTACACACCCATCTCTTGCCTCCACGGGCTACCTTTCTTCTGCTGTTTCCCCAAATCCTAGCTCGTAGTATTTGTAGAATGTTAGGAGAATTTTTAAAAACTTGAAAGAAAAATCTTGCCTCCACACGGTAACCACCATTAAAATATTATTGTTTTTTCTTCACACATATATTTACCATATTGGGACCACAGATTTGATTTTTTTTTTTTAGTCTCCATTGTACCTTCTTTAGTTCCCAATGTGTTTTTGAAAAATAAATGTTATTCCTACTAATATAATAATCCATGTTCACTGTAAAACATTTTCTCTAGCAGATTTTTATGTCTACTTCTAGGAGCTCTTCCAGAGAAAAGAAAAAGACAGAAATTGCCCTCTCTGTTGTATGGGGCAGAATTCCTTCATTTCACATTGCTGGGGGGGGGGGGTGTGATGGGGAGGAGGGGGTCTGGGGAGGGGAGGAGAAACATCTGTAACAAAAATAAATTAATAAAAATTGGAGAGAGGAAAAAAAAGAATTCCTTTATTTCAGGACTGGACAGGAGCTATTCAAGAAAACAAAATTTCATGTATGCAAAAATCTTAAGTAAAATTTCTTGAATAATGTCTGCCTCACTCACCGCTCTCTCAGTTGTTAAAGGTGGAGGCTGTGCTATTCAGGCTCAGCATCCCCACATAGAGAAAGTGCTCAATAAAGATTTATTAAAGCACTATCTAAAGGAATGCTGCATTTTTATGCGTATCAGAACCGCTAACATAAATTCTTGGCACCTGCCCTAAATTAGATAAAATCAAGTCAAGGTCCTCTTTTGTGGCCACTCTCAAACCCATTGGTTGGATTTTTATTCAGCAAATTGTCACTCTTTTCTCCCCCTCCCCTGGGGATGGAGGATACTATCCTGTCCCCTTGATGTCGGGCGTGGCCGTGTTATTTGCTTTGGCCACTGGAATGTTAGCAGAAGCCTTAAATGGTGCTTGATTCTTGCCCATCTGCCATTTTTCTTATGAAGACTTTCTCTCAAGTAGGAGGACCAGAGACTCACAGAGTAAACCCAGCCCATAGGCTTAAGCCAGTCTGCATCCTGAAGCTGAGCTGTCTGCCAAACCCAGCCAAGATCAGCCTATCGACAGTCCTCCCACAGATCAAGAAAGAAATGCTTGCGGTCTTACGTCACTGACTTGAGCAGTGAGTGGTCACCCTGCATTGTTATAGCAAGACCTGACTAGCGTACCCACTAAATGCAGTTTATTTTCCATATGACCCTCCAAGAGTAAACGTGTGTCTCCCCCACAGACCTGCCAGCACAGACCTGCTCCTGAGATCCCTGTTAACTGCGTGGCCACCAGGCTGGACGGGAGAAGCCCTGCTCCAGCCATGCAGCTTCACCTCCACTTCTTAGAATGACGAGCAAATCGAAGACCTTGGCGACCTGAGCTCTAGTCCCCCTGCATGTTGTTTTATCTCTTCAAGCCTTGGTGACCTTTTCTGTAATGTGGAGTTAGACCACATCCTTGTGATTCCTTTGAGCCAGCAACCTGTGACCTGTAATGATCTGCACACCCGTCCGTGCCCACCCTCCTTCCCTTCTCACCTGGGTGTGGCTCAGCAGGGGGAGGGTGGCATGGTGGGCTGAACAGAAAGCCTGGCTGGCCTCCCAGGCTTGAGCTTCGGCTGAGAGGAAGTAACAGTTTTCCCCGGACCACAGCCAGCCCTCGGGGCATGGCTGGCACCCCGCCCCTGCAAGCACAGACCGTGGGTGAGTGGCAGGGTCAACTGTAATGAGCTGAAGGCATGTTCATTAAAAAGTCAAACTTGGCCGCGCCTCGACTGAGGGGCAAACCTAGAGCATGGAACTGGCAGGCCTTTGAGCAGCAAGCCGGGGGGGGGGGGGTGGCACCCCGGAAAGCTGCACAGTTTGTGCAGGCACAAAGCCCCCCAGGCGGGGGCTGACACCAACTGCTTGTCAGAACCTGCTGGGAGGAGGCACCATACCTGTTCTGGAGGCCAGGACCACATTGGCGACCGTGGACACCGCCAGGAGCACGGCCATGACCACCAGGGCCCAGCGCAGGGACTTCATGTACATGGGCAGCCCTGGGGAGGGAAGGGGACAACCAGGACAGACAGGTTAGAACCACTAACATACAGCATCACACCATGCCAGCACCCACCTCCTGGGTCCAGACATCAGGATAAACCACTCGATTTAGGTTAGAACTTCCTATTTGAGAGAGAGATGCTAGATGTTTTACTTCTTAAATAACTGCAAGCCCGAAGATTCTATTCAAGAAAGAGAACAAGCCCCGGCCAGGGTAGCTCAGCTGGTTAGAGCATTGTCCCGATATGCCAAGGTCAAGGGTGAGGGCTCCAGGCCCCGTCAGTGTACAGGAGTCAACCAGTGAATGCATAAATAAATGGAACAACAACAAATTGATGCCTCTCTCTTTCCCCCTACCTATTGCTCTAAAACAATTAAAAATAAATAAATAAATAAATCGATCAGACACAGGGTACAAACATGCCAAGATTGGGTAAGGCCCCTGCACTCAAGCAGCTAACAGATTGGGCAAAGGCAGCAGAAGATCAAACTGCAAACAAGAGAGGAACGAAGACTAGATTTGGAGTTCAACAGACCTGGGTTCAAGTTCTGACTCAAGTGTTCTGAATGTTTCCTGGTTTTAACACTGAAATCACACCTGCTTCTTTAATCTCGCCAGGTCTGGAGGCCGCCAAGGAAGCATCTTGGGTCCAGAGAGCATTTTGCAGGCTATAGAAGTGTGAGATGTCAGCAGCTCAGGACCTGGGGACCAGATGGCTGGGATAGGGTTGCAGAGGGATGAGGAACTCTGAAGACAGGAGGAATTAAATACTGACACCTGCTGCAGCGTGGATGACCTTGAAAACACTATGCTAAGTGAAAGAGGCCAGACACAAAAGGACATGTATTATGAGTCCATTTTAATGAAATATCCAAAATAGGCAAACCCATCAAGACAGAAAGTAGACTAGTGGCTGGGGCTGATAGCTAGAAGATACAGCTTTTTTTTTTTTTTTTTTTCCTTTTTTGAAATATATTTTTCCTTATTGATTTTAGAGAAAGAGGAAGGGAGAGGGAGAGAGAGATAGAAACTTCGATGAGAGAGAACATCGACTGGCTGCCTCCCACTGGGGATGGGGCCCACAGCCTGGGCATGTGCCCTGACCTGGAATCCAACCTGCTACCTCCTGGTGCATGGGTCAATGCTCAACCACTGAGCCACACTGGCGGGGCTAGAAAGCAATTCTTAATCATACAAGTAACAAATAGATTCTCCTTGTAAAAAAAAAAAAGAAAAAAGAAAAGAAGCTTCCCCTTCCCCTCAACTCCTACTTATCTTTCAAGGCTTAGCTCCAGAAACCTTTCCCATGACTCCAAGGTCACCAACCACACCCTCCTGGTTCCCTGTGCAGGATAGCTTAATTGTTTGTATTTTTTCAGGCTCTTTCTTCTTCCCTCCCAATCGCGCCCCACCCCCAAGAAAAATCCACACACACCCTAGCAGTCTGGCCTGTAGTCCTCAGAAGCCGCTGATGGATGAGCGTGCGGGGCCAAATGTTCCTCCATATATGGAGCAGGACAGAGCCTGAGCCTGCGAGAGGTTGGCTCAGCACAGCGTGGCGGTCCCGGCGGGCTTGGAGCCAGGAGTCCCGGGACCCGCGTTCCCGCCGGGCTGCCACCACCGTCACGTGATCCTGAAAGGCTTCCCCTCACTCGGGAATTCCTTCCACCGCGAAGGAATCTCAGAGCTGCTGCGCACACTAAGAGGAACGCGAAAGTTGTCGGGAGAGCGCAGCGGGGAGGAGTGGTTTTACTCTTCCATCGCAAACCATATGAATCAGTTTCGTGGAGCAGAATGCTATTAGCTCCAAGCCAGAGAGAGCGCAGGTGGGATCGGACATTGGGGTGGTCGTCTGGGTCCCCTAGTCCCTCCAGAACAGAGGCCCAGGGCTGCGCGGGTGTTGGGGGACCTCAGGCTGCCCGGCCCCGCCCGGGCGGCGCGCGCTTACCTAGGAGCTTCGTGGCCGGGTGCAGCTTCTCGTAGCCGTCCGCCTGGGCGCGGCGCAGCAGCACGGCGTCCTCCTTCTCCCGCGCCTGCTCCTGGCAGCGGCAGCGGCAGCGGGGGGACCCCGGGGGCTCCACGCCCTCCTCGGCATCGAGGCCGTGCTCCGCCCGGGCTGCAGCCAGCGGCGAGCCCCGGCCCCACGTGCTGCCCAAGGACGCGGTCCGCGGCAGGAGCGGGAACACCGGGGAGGCGTGGCGGGAGGAGGCCGGGGACTCGGGCACCGGCACGGTGATGAAGCGCCTGGAGGGCGCGGGCGAGGGCGCGCCGCTGCTGCCGGCCGCGCTCACGGGCTTCACGCGCACGTCCACCTGCAGTCCCACGGGCGCCCAGGTGCCGGGCGGCGGCTCCCTCGGCTCGGCCCCGGGCACCAGCTCGGCCCCCTCCGCCTCGCCGTCCCGGGACTGCTCGGCCGCCGCGGGGCCCGGCGACGGCGGCTCGGGGCCGGAGGACGCCTGGCGGCGGAAGGCGCCATAGCCCAGGCTGGGTGGCAGCACTCGCAGGCGCACCGAGGCAGGCGACGGCAGCTTCTTTTCGCCGGAGAGGTCCGGGCCCGCGCCGGTCGCCTCCGGCACGGCTGCCGCCGGGCCGCTCTCGGGACTGTCAGGTCGTTGCTCCTCCGCAGGGGCCTGCGGCTGCTCCACTCCCGGGACCTGGTTTTCCAAGTCCTGCGTTGGCAACTCGGGCCCGGCTAGGTCTTCCCTGGATTCCGCCCGGGCCCTCTCCATCCCGGGCGAGGAGCAACCGAGAGATGCAGAGGGGAGCTCACCTGGGCCCAGGTAGGGAGTCAGCTTCGCCTCTGGGGCCGGAATTGGTCCAGCGAGGCTGCTGATGTCGTCGGGCCACGCCCCTCTACGTGGTGCCCCACCCTCCAAACAAGTTCCTCGCTGGGATTGGCTGTAGCTAGGGTTGGCCACGCCCCTTCAGGCCCCCAGCCCAGCCTTCGCAGGGCACCGGGGGACAAGAAGAGCGGAAGGTCCTGGATGAGTGGTTACCCAGAAAAACAGCACAAGGGAGAACCCAGCGCCGGGCCTGACTCTTCCCTCTTCTTTGTCCCTGGTCCCACTCACTTTCCCTCCCTCCCAAGCCCTCTGCCCCTGGGCTAGTTGGGAGGGTTACAGCTTGGCGGAGAGCGGTGGGCCAAGTCTTGTAGAGATCCTTGGACCTCAGAAAAACCAGTGGGTCCGAAAGAAACGGGGCGGCCGGCGGGAGAGTAGCAGAGCAGGTTGTTCCGGCAATGGAGTGGGAAAAGGGGCGCCACCCCTGCGAGGACTCCCCAAACCCAGCTACTCTGGAGGCCTGACTCCTACTAGCCTAGCTCGTTAAAGACCGAGAGGTGAAAAAACTTGAAAATGTCTCTTTTCGTGGTGACAGGAGCCTGGTCCCCAGCCAGCTTGGTGTACTGGAATATAGGTTTCCCAACCTTGGTCAGTGAACCGGATGCCATTAAAAGAAATATACATGCCCTGTGGCTCAGCGGTTAAAGCGTGTACCCGCGGCCCGAAGGGTCGCAGGTCCGATTCCTGGTCAAGGTTGCATACCTGGGTTGCAGATAAAATCCCTGGCTCCGGTTGGGGGTGCGAGGGTGGCAACCAGTTGATGTGAGAGACACACTGTGGATGTTTCTCTCTCTCCTTCCCTTTCACTCTATGTAAAAATCAATGGGAAAAAAATCCTCAGATGAAGATTTAAAATAAAACAAGCAAAAACAAAACAACAACAAAACAAATTCCTGCGCTAGGATTGGCAGATAAAATACAGACCAATCCCTTAAATCTGAATTTCAAGTAAACAAGAGAGGTGTGTTTTTTGGTGTAAGTATATCCTAAGTGTTGTGTGGAATATACTTATATTTTAAACTTGTCATCTAGAATTTAACCCGCTATATAGATATAGATATAGATATAGATATAGATATAGATATAGATATAGATATAGATATAGATATAGATGATATAGATACAGATATTTTTTATCTTCACCCGAGGACATTTTTGCACCTATCTTCAGATGGAGCGGGAGGGAGAGAGGGAGGGAGAGAGAGAGAAACATGGATGTGAGAGAGACACATTGACTGGTTGCCACCCACACGACCCCAACCAGAGCCGGGGACAAACTGCAACCAGGCATATGCGCCCCTAGCAGGAACCGAACCCGGTCTCTCTGGTCTGAGGGCTGGTGCTCTAACCACCGAGAAGACGGGCCAGGGCCTGTATTTTTATTTGCTAACTCTACCCCAGGAGCCTCTGCTGGAGTGGAGCGGAGGGGCATGGAACTGATTCTTCCTCACAGCCCTCAGAAAGAACAATCCTGCCAACACCTTGGTTTTGGACTTCCGGCCTCCAGCACTGTCAGAAAATAGATTTCCATCTTTTAAGTCATTCAGTTTGTGGTACTTTGTTATGGGAGCCCTAGCAAATCAACACAAGTCTCCTGTCCAGATGGCTGCCTGCCCTGGGGACCACTCTCCAGACTCGGTGGTCTCTGCACACCCACCCTTCACCATCACTGACTCAGCTGGGCCGTTCAGATTCTGCCTCATGAGAATTTGGCACTTCATCCGAGATACCCAGAGGTGGGAGTTGTCACAACTCTCAATAGGACAGCTCTCTAGAGAGGTGACCCAAAAACTGTCTTCAGGTGCCTGGAGTTCCTCTGAAGTTTCCTAAAGCTTGCTTGTTCAAGTCTGTAGATTTCTGGGACCCCACCTTCTCTACCTCTTTTTTTTCTTTATTGATTGATTTTTAGAGAGAGAGAAAGAAACAGAGACATCAATTTGTCGTTCCACTTATTTATGCATTTATTGGTTTATTTTTGTGTATGCCCTGACCAGGGATCGAACCTGCAACCTTGGTATATTGGAACCAAATGAACTACCCAACCAGGGCTTTTGTGCTTTAAGTTAGCATGACATTCACCACTCTGATTGCTAGTGGAAAAGAAACCCAAGTCCAACCCAGGACTGCCTGGGGCTCCGTGGGGCTCTCAGGGTGAGCACCAGGCTTTGGAGCAGTCTCCATTGCTTTCCATGGCAGAGTCACAGTGGCCCTGGCATCAAAAGGCCATTTACAACTTCCCTTGTGGAAAACCCTATGGCAGGTGAATTACCCAAATGTTTCAAGCAGGCTCAGATCCTGGCTGGCCAAAAGAAACAAGTATGTACTGCTGTCCTTTCTTCCATCCTTCTCTCTGGCTGTAAAATCTTTTTTTTTTTCTATTTACAACAGCGATGCATGCTTGTGATATAAAATTTAAATATTACAGAAATGCGTACTGTAGAAAGTAAAAGTCCCCAGGATTTCATGCCCAGAGATCTCCGTTATTAACATTTAGGTATACACTCTTCTGGCTTTCTTTCTATGCATACCCTAAACTCCTTTGTTATGATATGTATATATTTTTTATTTCCAAAACCTTGCTTATCATTAAATGTAACCTATACCTAATTCATTTAAGCTGCCTCCTTCTGGCGCACATTCAAGTCATTTCCACGTGGGTGACATACTTACTGCAATGCCGAAAAAGCCACAGTTATAATTCGATGACCATCCTGCACACTGTTTTTAAAAAAGCACATCTCTGATGATATTTTCAGCATAGATCATTAAAATGGAGCTGCTGCGCCGCAGGCTGCCCTGATGGAGTGCCACAGCGACCCAATTGCTCACCGACGCTAAAGCCAAACGGGCAGTGGGTGAGGGGGTGGTGCCCACGGCCTCAAGCACCTGAAATTATCCATCTCCTCGTCTTTACCAACCCGCTGGGTGAAAATATGCCATTTCGGCTTGCATTTGTTTAGTTGTAAAGTCTTTTCCCTTGTAAATGGTGTTGTGAGCAGGCTCTTTGCCGTTCTCAGGGTCTGTGCTCCGGCGCCCCAGCGGGTTCCAAGGAGCGGTTCAGTAGGAACCCGAGTTCACTGGCTCAGGGAGGCTGATGGTATCTGGCCGGTCTAAACAGACCAGAGAGTTTTACGAGCATAAATGAAAGCATGGCTGGGTTCTCCAAAGAGGAAACAAACATGCCCACCCCTGGCTCCCCACTGATGTCACCCGTCTGGCATCTTGGGTCCTTCTAGGGCACCTGGACATGCAGATGAGGGGAGGAGGGGGGTTTCCGCATGGCCAGCTCCCTGGCACAGCCGGTTCATCCTCAGCTCACATTCCACCTGCTCAGAGGCTCAGGGGCACCCAAGCCAGGGTGGCACTCTCCCGCCAGCTCCCCGCGCCTCACCCGTGGACTGTCTTCGGAGCACTGAGCTTTGTTTTTGGCCAACCTGTTCACATACTTGTCTTGTTCAATGTTCTCCTCCGGCCTCTAGAAATCATTAACAGCCGTCTCTGGCATACCCATCCCTGGTTCTGGGCTGATACCACCCCCAGCGGTTTAGAGGATATTCGTGAAATAAAAACTGCTGAACAGGGCACTATAGGGGTGCTTGACATACCTTCTCCTTCTTATTTTTCTCCCTCAATTTTTATTGAACAGATTGTAAGCATTGAGTAAAATGAAAATAGAGAACACTTGAATGCCTTCGACCTAGATTCAGCAGTTAGCATTTCACCGTATTTCCTTTGTCTTTATCTCCACAAAAACATACTTTTGTGGTTATCTCCATAAAACAGTGTCGTGGACTGAAGACCTGGAGAAACTTCACCCTTAAATACTCAGCATGTATATCCTATGAGTACTTGTATCTACCCAAGTACAGTGTCCTCCTCACACCCAGGAACGAACAATTACTCCATGCTAGATGATATATAGAGGTCATATTTAAAGTTCCGCAATTCTTTTTCTCGCACTGCATTTGGCTGTCACGTCTGTTCCCTTTTCCTAGTAATTGGGAGGGAGGCACGAAAACGCCTACGTTGCAGGTGATGAAAGTGAGCCAGGGAGGCAGCGGGACTGGGCGGCTCAGGTGACTCCAAGGTGGGAAAGTCAAGATGCCCTCCGGTGTCTCTGACTCCCAAACACCTTTTCTCCGCCTTTCCTGCATCTTGGTTCCTGGGGGTCTCAGTCCCAGATTCTGGCTGGTCTGGTCCATGCAGGCCATGGGCTGGGGCCAAGGTGAAGGTGCCACCCCGGTTACCCAGCCAACTGGGCTTCACTTTCAAGTTTCTTCAGCCACACCCACCCTCCCCCAACCTTAGCCCTGCTGCTTCCTGAGACGTTCGCCAGGGATGGGGAGTGAACCGGGGTCCTGTTTCTGCTTCGCTTAGTTAGGGGAGGACCCACTCGCAGGGGGGACAAGCGGCTTCAGCGGTGGCTTTTGTCAGGGCTGTAGGTAAGGCTGCGACAGGGATGGAGAAACATTCACCCAGGAAGGAGTAAGGAACAGAGCAGAAAAACATCTCCCTGAGTCATCAGCTACTTGCTCTCTGCAAGTCAAAACACAGATCCCCCTGGCGGGGAGCCCCACCCCTAGAATAGTTCCTGCGGACTGCAGTGTGCTAGGGTTGTGAGTGTAACTACCGAGAGTGAACAGATTGCCCGGCTGACACAGTAACACGTGGGCTACCCCCGACTTCCTGTATATGATTATTTGATGAGTCTAGGCTTTTAAAAATAAAACACTCAACTCTCTCCTGGGGCTAGAAACACTTCGGTTTTCAGGACAAAAGGTCCAACTGTCCTCTAGAGAGGAAGAAGCAGAAAATACCTCTCTTTTTGTGGTAATGAGTTTACAGGAAAGCAAGATGGCTAACTACCTTTTTTTTTTTTTTTGGCTTGTTTCTA